CCAAACAGTATTCACATCGTTCCATTTTCCCATCATGTCACCCACGTTGCATGACTTTTGACTGCCCTAGCATTCCACAGGGTCTAAGAATTTGCCACAGTTCTGCCTTGGATATAGATCGTCACAGATCTTTCTGTTACTGAGGTTGAGATCAGTGCTGTCCTATAGGAGGAAGGTGACATATCGGAGATCATATGTTCGTTTGAAGGACACTTTAGCCTTCTTGTTGCTGAAGATAGGCTTGTTCTTTATTACTCTGGCTGTTTGGGGTCGTTGTCATGCAAACCAAGATACATTTGGGGTCAGCCAGACCCTCCATGGGGGTGCTGTGTAAGGATATCTAAAGTGTCTGGGTATTTCCCAACTAAGAGTTGAACACAGGCATAAAGCTGTATTGTATGGGGTGTGTGTGGGGAAATTACTGCTGATATTTTTATACTGCAGTGTTGCATCCTACTTCCAAAATAGAATTGTGACATGCCCTGAGTAAAGGGTTTGGCTGCTATGCACTGTTGATATTCTGAGACTTGGTGCGTGCATGTGTCTGTATTATAATGCTTTCCCCAGCCGTTCTGGGATCTGGTTCTAATTTAAGGGTGTCTTTTCTAGGCTATGGGTCACGGTGTATTAGTTATGAATCTGGGGTTGTTAGGCAACTTGTAGGTAGCTCATTTTCTGTCCTGAGCTAATGATGTGTTCTTTAACGGGAAAACACCTGGATGACTGCTCCTGCCACGACAGCAGATACCACAGTCAAGTCACATCGAGCACATATCAGATTTTTCCCATCATCTCTGCTGGTGTCCCCACATTATTTCTTGGGGTGAAAGGCTCCCTCGTCTGACAGATGTTTGCAACTGGATGGGAAATTGAATGACATAGACCACAGGATTCATGTTCAGTAATGGTATCATTAGAATGTAATATACTTTTTGGTCCAATTCTAGACAGGGATCTTACCCAGACTTGATGGGATTTTGGCGATGGAACAATCAAATGGCCTTGGAAGGGAGCCTAGCAAGTCCTTGAATCCCAGTGTTTGTGGACTGAGCTGCACTTTAGTTAAATACTCCCATGTAACATTGTGAGCATGCTAGCATCCTCACAATGAGAACATTGCCCACATGGTGATATTTAACAGGTAGCTCGTTGTTAATTTTGATCATGATCACGATTGTTGTTGTTTTTTTTGTCATGTCAGCATGCTAAAATGTGCTAATCACCACTAAAGAAGCTGGCAGTGGAGGGTAAAAGAAATCGCATTTGTTTGACAAATAATAATTCATAAGCCAAAGAATTAAACTAAATTAAGCACTTCATTCATATGATTCATATAGATTCATATAATATCAACCTCAGAAAAGTCAGATCACCTATTATGATACATTACACATGAAGACTAAAAACTCAAAAATATGTTATTTTTGTAAATAATAATGATTGGATTTTTTTAGTGACTGACTTTAGACTGACAGACTGATACTAATACCAAATATGAATTTTAATATCCATCCCATCCATCCATTCGCTTATCCTTTTCAGGGTCGCTGGAGCCTATCCCAGCTGTCATAGGGCAAGAGGCGGGGTACACCCTGGACAGGTCGCCAGTCTGTCGCAGGGCCAACACACAGGGACAGACAGCCATTCGCACATTCACACCTAGTGACAATTTGGATTATCCAATTAACCTATCCCCACAAGCTGCATGTCTTTGGACCGTGGGAGGAAGCCGGAGTACCTGGAGGGAACCCACGCAAACACGGGGAGAACATGCAAACTCCACACAGAAAGACCCCGGCCTGATGTTGGAATTGAACTCAGGACCTTCTTGCTGTGCGGCAACAATGCTAACCACCGTGCCACCGTGCTGCCCATGAATTTTAATATAATAATTGTATTTCCCTATTTCGTTCTCCCAAGGCACTTAATATTGTAAGGTGACGATCCTACAATAATATAAAGAAAACAGAGAAAACCCCAACAATCATATGACCCCCTTTCACCAAGCACTTTAGTCACAGTGGGAAGGAAAAACTCCCTCTTAACAGGAAGAAGCCTCCAACAGAACCAGGCTCAGAGAAGGATGGCCATCTGCTGTGACTGGTTCGAGTGAAGGGAAGAAGACAGGGCAAAGACACAATGTAGAAGAGAGCCAGAGATTAATAACAACTGATGATTAAATGCAGAGAGGTGAATAAACACACAAAGTGAAGAAAAGATGAGCAAAGAAAAAAAAAATCCTTAGTGCATCATGGGAATCATATGATCCTACATGCTTTATCAAAATGGAAGGTTTTAAGCCTAATATTAAAAGCAGAGAGGTTTTCTGTATCCTGAATCCAAACTGGGAGCTGGCTCCACCAAGAGGGGCCTGAAAACTGAAGACTTTGCCTCCGTTCTACTTTTAAATACTCTAGCAACCACAAGTAAACCAGCAGTCTGAGAGGAAAGTGCTCTAATAATGTGATACAGTACTTTAAGGTCATTAAGATAAGATGGGGCTTAATTATTCACCATCCAAGCTGTCTGACCTATACTGAAGTAATAGTGACCCCCTTATTACTATGTTATAGCTCATGAAATGTGACAGGAATATTTAAAGAATTTTAATTTGAAAAATTCTTGAGCTCCCACAGAGAAGTGCTTTTCATAAATTCTTCAGGTTTTTGATGTATCTTGTTTACTTTAAAGGAATGCAAGAAGCCTTTAGACTTTCAAAGATAGTGAAAACTAAAAAGACAAATATAAAACTGTTGTTTTTTGTTGTTGATGTTGCAAGAGATCCATCTTGAATCACTCTTATCTGGTAATAATGACCTGGCACCAGACAGTTTGTGTAGTGAGCCAATTTAGGTCAGGCCTATTTACATTTTCTATCTGACTTTGATTAGCAGCTACAATAATCTCACAGCATGGCAGTAAAAGTAGTCAAGTTCTATCTCCAGTCCAGTGGCCACACAACAGAGTTCAAACGAGAAATCTAAAAATAGAGTTGACACCATTTGCAGCTGACATGCAGACTTTCTCTGTGAAACGCAAATATGTGCACGACCACACACAACTCCTCCAACAGCCACAACTCCCACGTACATTAGTGGCATGTTTCCTCTTTGATTCAGAACTGAAATGCTACAGACAGGGTTTTAAATTTTGCAAAACAGCTCAGATATTTGTACTTTATGCCTTTGTTCTGTTGTAAGCATTGCTTTTTTATCTGGTAGATTGCACTCAGAGGAATATTTAGCATCCTACAGAACCAGAGTTAGTCATCATCATCCTTTTTATCATCATTACACAGCTATGACACATGAGAGGGAAGAGATTCCTCAAGTGTTAGTATGCTTTCAGCTGTAGCCAGTGAGATCATTACATTAATTTCCTCATCATATAGGCTCCAGCCTTCAACAACGCTGGATTTTATATGTATTTCAGAAAATGCTGGACTTTCCTTACATTTTCTACTTGTGGCAAAAATAATATTTACATTAATATTTACATTTTCATAATATTCAGAAACACAATCTACACTGAAATCTAACAAAGAATTTTCAATATGCTTGCAATGACAGCATTGTGATTGTGTATTATGTCAGAACTGTGTTGTAATGGGTAAAACTTTTGGGATGGATTTCTTTTTCATTCTTTCTTTTTTTCCTGAGCTGAGAAATTTGACAAATTTAAAACACTCATATATGGAATTACACAAAGTTGCAACTTGTATTGACATTAATTATTTTAAATATTCAGGATGCATGTAACAAGATAGCGCTCGACTGATACACACAGATGTATCCATCTGCTCTGGGTGTGTGCGAGTCGGTTAGAGAGCTCTGATGACAAAGCTGAGCGTGTGACCTTCCTGGCAGTAGTCAGTCATATTTCTTATATAACCAAGGCTACATAACTCTATTGTAACTCTATAGCTTCATACTAATTTAAACAATGCATATAATAAATTCTGATGTGCTACATTAGGACAGAGCAGAACACATTCTTTCCACGTACTTATAACACAAAATGGTAATTTTAACATGATGTTGGCCATATTTTAGAACAATCATTCATGTTAATTTTGGTTATGTGCTTTTCTGAGCCAGTTTCTTTAGCCTAAACTGAATTAAGTTTGACAATTTCCACTAAGTGAAGCTTCATACAAAATATAACCATGATTTGATGCAGTGTTTCTAACAGCTCCTGATCATTTCTATCAAAACTTCCCATATTAGACTTACTGCACAAAAGTGAAGGGACTGTCTGACTGATTTTTACACCCATTCATTCGATCATCCATCGTCAAACAGACATACATGCAGAAGGCCATCGTGAAACCAGATCCCTTCAACAGCTGAATCAAGGGCTGGCAAAAGGTGCAACAAGGGGGGTAGGGAGAGGCTGAAAGACAAGAAAAAGAAGGCTGGACAAAAATGCATCGCTGAAGAGCATAAAGAAATATGAAAGAAAGGCTTTTAGTCCAACAGATAACATCTCAAGAGATGACAATGAACTGAACAAAAATGTCCTCTGAGCAATTTCCTAAAAACCTGTATAAGTCATTTTTAGTGAACGTCTTCTACAATGAACTACGCAGAGAAAATAAAGCTAGAACAGCCAAAATAAAAAACTCAAATCATAAGTACAATTATGATACATTTTCACATTGATTAACACTGGTTAGCAGAGCTATTTAATTTTCACCTCATGCCCTTAAATCTGGGGTTTAAAAAGCCACTACTAATGAGGCAGTTATGAAAAATATTTTTTAAAAAAAGACTTGTTGGGTAAAATTTGAAGAACTGTTAATGCATCTTAACCAATGAAGGAATCTTCCAGACTGATTTAAAATGCCAAAAGTAATCAATGAAAAAAGGGGCTGTGATACAGTGGCGGGGTGGAGTAGTGGGAGTGCAGACGGGGTGAACAGAGACATCAAGAAGAGGGGTTGGGTTTATGAGTGGGTGTGGGGGTGGTAGAGCTACAAATAGTTGCACTCAGTGGCTGGCATTTCTTCACTTAGTTTTCTTCCCAGTTGCCCAGTGGGACAGTTGGGTCTCAGCACCTCAAGCGGTTCCATCAAATCCACAACTCAACCAACAACTCAACCAGCCATGAGCAAGTCCTACAGCTCCTCAGCCCAGAGTGCTTCCTCGTACCGTCGCACCTTTGGCTCTGGTGTTGGGTCAACACCACTGTCATCGATGTTCTCCTCCTCTCTAGGAGGAGCCCACAGCTCCGCTTCTAGCCGTATGTCTAGCAGAGTCTACGAAGTCAAGAGCACCGGCATTCCCTCTTATTCTAGCTTCAACTTGTCTTCTGGGGCCGGGCTCGGCTCCTCCAAGGCCATGCGCACCTATGCCGGGGAGAAGCTCGACTTCAACCTTGCAGACGCCATGAACCAAGACTTCCTCAACACAAGGACCAATGAGAAGGCCGAGCTTCAGCACCTCAATGACCGCTTTGCTAGCTACATTGAGAAGGTGCGTTTCCTGGAGCAGCAGAATGCCGCGCTGACAGTGGAGATCGAGAAGCTCAGGGGCCGCGAGGGGCCTGGGCGTGTGGCTGAGCTGTATGAGGAGGAAATGAGGGAGCTGAGGAGGCAGATAGAGGCCATCACCAACCAGCGTGCCAGAGTGGAGGTGGAGAGAGACAACCTGGCCGATGACCTGCAGAAACTTAAGCTCAGGTAAGCTTGGATTGATGGGACTGGGCCAATATGTAGATAAACATCTTCATGAACAAATGATGAGTAAAGAAAAATATATATATAAAAAACTGACTCATGTAATATGGCTTTAATAAAAGTGAGCTACTGGAAACACATGCACTCACATGTAGGAGTACACAGGAATCTCATGTTAAGTCTAAAGCCAAACAAATGGAATAGTTTGAATTAACTGAAACATGGAGGATGTGATCCTTTTTACTTAAAGAAAAGCTCATTCTGTTACATTTATAAAAAAAAAAAAAAAATCATGTGATACAATAAATATTTGTGACCTCACATCCCCCCCCACCCTCTGGAAGGTGCTATCTCACATTCTGGCAACACACCAAACCTCTATCAGATGGAACAGAAGGAGAAAATCGGAAGACGGGAAAGCAGAAGGGGGGGAGGAGACTTTAAAACGTTTTATCCAGTGTGTTAAAAATAAAACAAACAAGTGGCATCAAGTACAACTCATTGATTTCTAAAGAGTGTCTCTCCTCTTTTGGGAAAAATGAAAACAACAAAGTAACAAAGGAGAGATTTGAGAATAGGAATGCTTCAGTAATTGTTACGGTCCAATGGCTTATTACAAAGGTGTTTTATAATTTATTCACGAGAGACACAGCAGAAGAAAATTGAGAGCAAGAGAGAGAGAGGGAGATCTGCAGGTTCATAGGAATAGAGTTGAGACTCACAGGCAGACAGATTAAGTTTCAGCTCGACAGAAAGCAGTCAGACATGAGAGAAGTAGACAGATAAAAATAAGTGTATACACACGGCCTGTTTGTTTGGTGAGTTTAAAGAAGAAGAAATCTAAAAAAGTGAAAAAATTTCAAAAGCCAGTCCACCAAATACACATTCCTTCTATGTGCACTGCATATGTGACAGAACGTGAGCATGAGAGAGAGAGAAAAGCACGGGGAGCTGCAGTGTGGGTGTATCGCTGAATAATCTATTTGGAGCGACTAAATCATCTCTGTGAAATTCTGTCACTGCGAGATGCTGCATGCAGCATCACTTAAATAAAATGTATATCAAAAGACAGGCTCAAACACACACAGCACTCTGACTCTTCACTCTCTGTGTATCACGCCTGCTCAAATGGTTGCCTGAAACGTTCAGTGAAACTTGTTAAAGCACCAGCTGCTCCTAATATCACATGCAAACAGTTGCAACGCATGCACGCTGACATTCTCATTGAACATTCTCACTGAACGTTTCCATGGACGATGACATGATTCAAAACCGCAAAAAAAATGCCAATAGCATCTGCTGTGTGTATTTGTGTCGGTAGTGATTATGTGTGAGGTGCATGACAGCATTTTTTTCTGCATTTTCCAGTTGTTCAAAGCGCACGGCGAAATGCTAATTCTGGAAACTGCACCGGGACAGGCCTGTGTTGCTCTCACACTGTTACCATTCTGACTCTGACAGTGTGACAGCTGCAACAGAGCTTTAGGACTCAAAGAGCAAGTGCAGAAGTGTGCGTGTGTGTGGACATGGATACAAATAAAAGCTTGAACTTTGATGTTTCATTGTCTATGCCGGTTCTATTCTTCTGAATTTACTGAGAGACGAAAAGAGCAGAAAGGCTGGAGGACTGAGAGGTGGTAACTAGTTTATCTGTCTAGTAAGTGATCCCTGGGGGGAAAAGCTGTTCACTCCAACAGTTTGTCTTCACTTTTGTTTCAACTTTCCGCTTTCTTTTTCGCTCTTTTCCTTTTTGTATGTTGCTGTCATTCTGGCAGACTGCAAGAAGAGATTCACCAGAAGGAAGAAGCTGAGAACAACCTGTCTGCTTTCAGATCTGTAAGTCTTCCATTTCCTTAAATCACTCATCTATAGCTCAGTCATTTTCTCTTCAGTCCAAAACAGAGAAACTTTGCGTCCTTTGGTTGAGCAGTCATTTTTCTCCTTTAATTTTCTTCTTATTTTAACTTTTTTTTTTTAAATGTGTTGGTTATTGGTCATTTTCTTTTTTGCCATTCTCTCCTCTTATCTAGGATGTCGACAGTGCCACTCTCGCTAGGCTGGACCTGGAGAGACGTATTGAGAGTCTGCAAGAAGAGATTGCCTTCCTCAAGAAGATTCATGAAGAGGTTTGCTGATTTACCAGCTTTGGTTGGCTGGCTTCACACAATTAGGCGGTGGGAGGGTTGCGTCTGGAATGGCATCTGGCATAAAATCCGATCCATTCGCTGTAGCAACCACTTGGGAAATAAGAGAGCAGTAAAAACTACCCTTCCTCTCTATATCTATTATGTGTGTCACTAGGATGGTGTATAGTGTATCATATAACACCTGTGTGTGTTACTATACTGTGCTGTGATATTAGATCTGAGTCTCCACAGGCATGCAGCTCTTCATGAGATCAAAGACATCGTACTTAAATCCACCTACTGATGTTAAAGCACAGATATCGTTCCCATCTACGTAAATTCATGTCTGTAGGAAAATTTAACAGTCATTTACTGTAACTATTACAGGGCAACAGAAAGATCTAACCTTATACACTTACAGATATCAAATGATATTCTGAGCCACACACTCAGACACATGTCTGCACAGCTGAAGTCCCTTCTTCTTATTTTGTCTTCTTTGCTTGAACTTTGACCTGCCAGAAATGCCAAAGTGCTGATTGGTCAAAAGACTATGTCAGCTGTTGTGTGACAGAGAAAAAGAGGGTGTGCCTGTGAACAGATGCAAAGCTATTTATAACTTTCAGTTAGATCAGACAACAACTGAGTGCAATCCAGGCTGGCTAATTTAAAAAAAAAAGCCTGTTGCTAACAGAATGCATCAGTCGACAGCTGGGTGAATTTGTAATTTGACACATTAGATTTCTATATGTAAATATTCTGATCTGACGTGTTATTGCACGTTGAATTATTTTTAACTTGTCAACTGAATTAGCAGGTATCGTTTTAATGTCCCGGTAGCTACTCACATGTTTGCTTATTCATCATTTTGACACGAGCGGAGTTTGACTTTTTCTGGACTCCTTGCAGGAAATCCGTGAGCTGCAGAGCCAGATTCAGGACACTCAGGTGCAGATCCAGATGGATATGTCTAAGCCCGACCTCACTGCTGCTCTGAGGGACATCCGTATGCAGTACGAAGCCATTGCTGCCAAAAACATTGCAGAGGCTGAAGAATGGTACAAGTCTAAGGTAGAATGGAGGCATGCACACGTAAAATGCACATAGTAGTTCTTAGCTGTTGCACTGTTAATCCTCCTGTCTTCTGTGTTCAGGTGTCTGATCTGAACCAGGCCGTGAACAAGAACAATGATGCACTGCGTCAGGCCAAGCAGGAGACCATGGAATTCAGACACCAGATCCAGTCCTACACTTGCGAGATTGACTCACTGAAGGGCACTGTGAGTATTTGTAGCAACTTTTCTCACTTTCTTTTTTGGCTTCTGATTTTACATTTCTTCTTTCTGATTGATATCATCTTTACATTTCCTTGATAACCATATTTTCAGCCATAAACAGCCATAAACTTCTGTTTCTTTTAGGTGCGTTTACTCTCTTTCAAGCTTCTTATCCCTTCTTTTCAAGGACTTCATGTCTCTGTTTCTTTGCAGAATGAGTCTCTGCTGCGCCAAATGAGAGACATGGAGGATCGCATGGCCCGCGAGGCTACTGGTTACCAAGATACCATTGCACGGCTCGAGGAAGATATTGCTAAGATGAAAGTAATACGCTTAGATATGTCATGCTGATCTTTTGCATTTCACACTGGGTAATAGAAGTAGCAGGATTTTGTGTTTGGTGAAAACTATATTTTAAGCACTTCTTACACACTGATTTCAAGGATGATATGGCCCGCCACCTGAGGGAGTACCAGGACCTCCTCAATGTGAAGATGGCCCTCGACATTGAAATTGCCACCTACCGCAAGCTGCTGGAAGGAGAGGAGAGCAGGTGTGTTTCTGTCCTAAAATTACCTTAATTTTTTGTGATTTTGCATTTATGTCGTACTCATTACTGATTTGTTATGCTCCTCTTTCTGTAGAATCACTACCACCATACCTGTCCAGTCTGCTTATTCTTCCATTGGATTCAGAGGTATGAGAAGTTGCACCCTTTATTCCTGTCACGCGTAAATACCGTTAAAATCTATTGGGCATGAGTCAATAAGGGGGGATGATAAAAGGTCTAATTATAGGCTGTGACTGTATATGGTAGCTGCTATTATAAGGGCATTACATATAGTGTCTTTGCAGTGACACATTCTGACCACTGTGTGGGGATATATGACTAAAACCTTCATGCCTCTGTGGTTCAGGGAGGCAAGAATTAACCTTCATTAATAATCATATGACTTACCCTCTTCATTTAATAGATTAACAGTAAGAAGGTGCAATTAGTCTCTGTTAGTACCTCCCATCTGAGCACTTTGTGACAGCTTAAAGTTAACACAAGGATGTTGTGTGGATGTTCCATTAATGTTACAGCCATGTGAAATTGTTCAAAGCTCATTAAACTTCTAAGTGCAATGCTTAACTAATATCAGTGACTAAATTATCTCAGTGTAGCTGCAGAAAGAATTAAAGCAGTTTATGAAAGAGCTGCATGTGTGAATTTGTTCCTACAGAGACCAGTCCTGAGTCCCAGCATCAGCGCTCATCAGAGGTTCACTCCAAGAAGACTGTTCTCATCAAGACCATTGAGACCCGCGATGGAGAGGTTTGAGCTCACACGTACACGCACACACAGGCATACACACAAATATACACTTTTATGCACAAAAATGTCCATGTTGAGGTACCCTAATGAACTACAAAAGCGCTAGTAAATTATAACTTATATTTTTTTCAACCAAACCATTCTGATTTACTATATTCTCATCCAGATTAAATATTCTATGAGCCAGAGTGCTAATGCCTCATGTGTAAGTCTGGTTTCAGTATCACACCTGCCTTCTGATTGTCTGCTCACATCAGCGGGTTGAAACAAGCTACCAGATTTAATAAGGATAAGTTCCTTCTTGCATTTGTCAATCACAGCCACTACATTTTCATAACTGTCTACACATACAAATGTGGCAACATAGTAGCAAAGCTGTTTTAGCTTCTATTCTCTTTGTTATCCCTGAAATCTTGTAGTTTGAATCAATCCGGGTACAGACAGTTTCATGAAAGTTACAGCACCGGCTTCCCTGAACAAGCACCTTCACTGTCAGCGCTCCAGTTGGTCCCAGCACAGTCCTTCACCTTAAGCATAACACCTGCACTGAATGTTAAGCTTAAGTAGAACTTTATTGCCAGACTAGCACGGGAGATGGGGTGTTTTCTCACACCGTTTATGCAGACACTGTGCATAGCGAAAATAGACTCTTTCCCTTTTGTATCAATTTACAGTGTCCCCTTTTTTCCCCTTCCACAGGTTGTCAGTGAGTCGACACAGCACCAGCAAGACATCATGTAAACAAGAAGAAACAATGTTACTTAAAAAATAATAGCACCAATAATGAAATCTTTTCCTATTAGAATTACAATGATTACTAAGCTGTGCCTACTTTTAGATACAAAATGCTGACCATTTTATGTAACCAGTCATGGAAGTGAAATTTAACCACTGTACATCCGTACATAAATTACTTTAAGCGTCACAGGAAAGACGCAGTGTAGAGGCATAATGCCTTTAGCCTTGTTTTAAATGAAGGGCATTCCAGGATGTTTTTCTGTATTTGTGTTACTTTTCGCTGCAAAAGAAAAGTATCTTGCATCTATCTTGTCTGCAAAAATATTTTAGTGGTAAGAGTAATGTTTCAAATGAGTACAGCTTGTACTGCCGAATTATCCCATCACCCACTGTAGCAATCAATGGCAGATCAATTTGACTGAAGCAGTCAGATAAATTTCACTGTGTGTATTCCAGGATTTTTACATGTGTATGCACATCGATTGATTAAGATAGGCTATCTCTGTAACTGATTCAAGGAAAGTGAGATGTTGGTTTGAAATAGGAACTCAGTTGTGTTTTGACCTTTGAGCTCTCCAGCATGTGCTACGTGTCTGATGGTATGTGTATGAGTAACCATGGTATCCTCCTTCGCTCTGACAAAAACTCAAATAAAAGATTTCACTTGCTGGGCAGAAAGTTTATTCAAATTCTGTAACTCATATCTCTAGGCATTAGCATTCCTCAGACAGCATGCGTGCATTTTCATCCAAATCTTTATGAACTTTCTCTTCCCACTGCACGCATCAACTGATGTGGCCCGTTTTAGCTTTCCAAAAGATACTAGCTCCCCCAGCCAAGCGTAACACTCTTCTGTCAACATTTAATTTTCTTCTATACACAAAACACGAGTTGTGGCTTTCTTGAATTTATCAGTAACCAGTCTGATCTTGGTGCAGGGAAAACGAAACAAGGGCGCATTAACGAGCGGCCCTTTGTCATTCTTGGTCTCCAGCAGAAGCAGATGAGCAGAGCAACAAGAATTACAGTCTGTGCAGTTTGTTTCTAAAGCCACTGGACTGAAAATGTCATCAGAGATAAAAATTTGTTGGGGTGGAGGAGAGAAAAAGGAAACACAGAAACAATAAATGAGCCTGCAAGAAAGAGCAAGACGGGAAGAAGAGAAAAACAGAGGACAAATATAATGAAAAGGTTATTCTGAGACAGAGACACGGGGAAGATCTAGAAAGAGATAATTACGCTGAATAACATAAAGAAGTATGTGACTGCTACTCCAGTAATTAGTGGAGCCATGACGGTGTGCTTTCATCACCGAATCAACAGAAAGGGCAAACTGCTCCTGTGTTCTTTTCCCTCTAAATAAAGTTTCCTCACTTCTGTGAACTCTCCTCTTTTTTCCTAGGAAGCAAAAAAGCTTCAAGCATTACTGCACTTCTTATTTCTTGATTAGTTTTGCTGTTGTATTTGTCGTTACATAACTGCTGCAGTTTGTAATGAAGCTACACTGCTAATGTAGCCTGAAACCTACACTGTCAGAGCATTGTCTTTTTGAAGGTCTTGCAAAGTTTTGGCTTTTTGCACTCATCTTCAGGGCAGTTCCTGTACATGACCGTTATCAGAGCAATGCAGCTTTTTTGTTTTGTTTGTATGTTTCTTAAGCCAAATAACATTGACCAATGAATTATGTAAATATTTTAAAAAAGGAATTTAACTGAAAGGATGAACCATTGTTGTGGCTACTTTGTTACTTGTAGCCTGTTGCAAAAAACATATACTTTGTTATTTTTGAATAGCAAAGTATATGTTTGAATGAATGAATATATGAAAGAAAAAACTGAAGATAACACAGTTTAACAGGCATAATATAGTATTTTTACACCAGCAAGGTGATTCTTTAAATGCATATCTCAGCATGATGTGGAGTGTGTCCTCAAAAAAAAAAATCTGAGGAAAACTGAATAAGAGGAGGACAAAAGAAGTGTCAGGTCGTAACAATCTACAGCAGATAAACAGTGTCTGAAAGTCACGTCCTTGAGAAAAAAAATCCAGCAAAGACCTGACAAGTGGTTCAGGACCTTTAGTTGATCCATCTACTGTTAACTGACGCCTCATCAGAAATGGCCTCAGTGCGAAAGGTTGCTGTCAAGAAGCTATTCTTTAGAAAGAGGAAAAGGGAAAGAAGGGTGAGGTGTTTCAAATTACAAAAAACCCCAAAAACAGCCAAGGCCAAAGCAGAAATCTGGGGGAATAATTCTGAAGACTATTTCAAGAAAGGACAAAAAAGCTTGACTAAGAGAGGTCAGGCTGAGCTGAAGAATAAAAGTAATCAAATACTGACTTTCAAGCTCATTAGAATTGCACAAACTCTGTTTTTTTGATGTTTCACTCATTTTCCTAGCAACATATAATAGTGAGTGGGTTAGTGGGTGGCTCAACACTTTTGCACATCACTGCATCATCAATAATTATGAAAAAAATATGTAACAGAATCATCACCTACTGATATCTGTGTACAAGCACCATTTCTGAAACAGGTAAATATCTGTCGATTTATTCTAGGGACTAATTCTAAACTAAACTTATGTAACGCATGTATTTGTGGGAGTGTCAGAGAGAGAGAGATTGAACAAAAAAGTATTTGATATTTGTGCTCCAACAGTTGTGCACACACAAATGACAATGTAAAGATAACAAGACCACTGAATTATAGAATCACAATGTTTATCATATGTTAGGTCCATAGAAATCCATGCTTAATAACATAATAACAATAATAATAATAATCATAATAATAATCATAATAATAATAATCGGGTGATTTTTACATATTTAAATTGGATGATACGAAAAGGACGAATCAGAGTCCATTTTCTTTGCTAAATTTGAACATGAAACACTGAAACACCTGAATGAGAAGTGTATCCACCGCTCAGCCAAATCAAAGCAAACTGGACATACAGCAGAATCACAACATAACAGGTCTACTCCAGAAAGTAATAGCCTGCATAAATTACATACATGACTGTGGTGCAAACATGAAAATGGAGCCAAACATTTGTACACTTAAAAATTATTTACAAGTCAATATCTACAATCAAAGGTTTTCTCAACAGAAATGTTATATAATAGGCAATCAAAGAAAATATTAGAAATAAGAAAAACAACAACATAAAAGAAAAGTTCAGTGAAAGAATTATTCATTTTTGTCCCAAAATTACAAGCAAGAGGAGGGGCAATGTTTAGTTTAGAATTACACTACAATAAAAACACAAAAGCAGATCAAAGCAGGAGTGAAGTATAGGCAGAAAACCAAAAATAACACTTGTACTGCCACAACCGTGAAACAACATTTAATAACAGTAAACAGCAGGTAGGAAGCTGATGTAACAGGCATAATGCATGTGAAAAAGAGGAAAATGCTTCAAATGCCTTTCAAAGCCCTTTACAGACAGAAGAGAACTGGAGATAGGAAGAGAGTTTTTATTTTTACCTACATCAGCCCAGGACCAGAAAACTAAAGTGTAAATGTCAGAGCTGTGACATGACAACAGCACAATCGAAACATATACACAATGATCAACATGCAGTAATGGGCTTTTGATAAAAATCCCTGGTCCTCGGGCCTAAAAGTACTGTAAATTTTGCTGAATCCAGGCACTAACTTACATACCTCAAGTTTTATTTTATAATTTATGTGCAGTCAGATTGTTTTGTTTTCCTAAACCTCAGAAAAAAGAAGCTATAATAAAACAATAGTTTAAAAAAACAATATTGAGGCAGAATTAAATTAAAAAATGTTCCTTTCCTACTACCGACGCTTCCATTTATAGTAATATTCAACCTAAGTAGGAATTGCAACATTGCTAGAAATAGTGTTCATGAACTACAATGTTTTGTTTCCAGAGAGCTTTAATTTTAAAAAAAGCAAAAAAAACCCCCCAAAACAAAACAACTTTCTCCTTCTGTACTTTAACATCTCGCATTCAGGGTCCTTCTCCTGTCTCAGTGTTTAGTATAACAATATTAATGTAAGGAACTTATTTCAATTTTAAAGTGAGTAACACACAAATGCATGTACATTTGAACCGTATGCACACACATACATAGAAAGGCCAGAAAAAAAAGGTCCAGAAGTAAACATCAGAGGGCGCCACTTGCAGGCGCATTTATCTTCACATTCTCTTATCTTAAAAAAAAGATGCTGCCTCTTTTTTTTTAATCACTTAACATTTCACTCAAACATTTTCATACCATTTTTCACCAACTGGTAAAGAAAAGAGAATTTAATGTATGCACAACATGCTGCACATACATTCCTACGAACCCCCCCCCCCCCCCCTCTCCTTGGCCAGTATTTGGTATGTTCCATCAATTGCCAGAGGGCTCATGTGTCCACTCAAACACACAAAAATACACTATTTTTTAACATTTTTACTGTTGCCTATTATTCTCAGACTTCATTACATCAATCAAATTCCAGAATGATTAATATCGGACAGCAGCTATTTGTCTTTAACAGAAGCTTTGTGGAAAAGAGCAAAAAGGGACACAAGAGCACTGTTAATAAATAAAATCACATCGCTTACAGAAATGTTTAATGGAGAGAGGAAAGAAGAGCAGACAGATGAGTATCCTGTTCAGGTCTGTAGTTGGAATGGCTGACAATAGAATAGAGGATACAAGGAAAGTGGTGAGATGTAAAAGCAGTCTCCTTGAAAATCACAACAGCGCAGGGAATGACACTTAATTGACAACAGAAATAACACAAACATTGTCTTTGGTGTAAACCGTTTAATCCAATTCACACCTAAACTTGTCTCTTTCTGCATGTTGAAGCAGTACAGGCCTTGCGCTGCCACGTTTGAATTTACAAGCTGTCAGTGAAGATAAAAAAAAGACTTCATGAATGACCTTTTAAATGAGAAGAGCTCCCTTTGAGTTTCAGTGTTTGCTGTGATTTTTTTATGTTGCTTTTCAGTCATTTTTCACAGCAGATGCTTCCTTAAGTCAAAATGTTTAATCCTTTAATTACCTTTGGAGTAAAGTGTTCTTTTACTTTAACTTGATGAAAGGCTATTTTTTTAATGCAATTTTTTTCTAACATGATGTGGGGCTCCTGTGGAGTGATTTTTCTTCCCCACTAGAAATGACATTGTATGGCTTGAACCAACCAGTATAAATCTTCGTATCAAATGTTCAACAGAGACAGTTTAATTAACTATGCATAAGAGCGTTTCACTTGTTTCCAGTGTTTTCCATGTAAGTACAATTACAGAGAAGCCAAATATAACATATGATGACTCACACTTCCGACAAAGAAAATCACTGTTTTTAGACATTAAAAGGAAAAAACAGACCAAATAAATACTTCAGTGGGTCTGACAGGAGAATAGCAGTGTGGGTCACACCACCTCTGGAGCATTTTGAGCTCCTGTTGGCTTAATAGGCAGTTGATTGGGTTGGCACGGTTAGGTTAGGTTAGGTTTCTTATCCTTATCAGTGAGTCTTGAAGTAGCCTGTGATGGTGCACATGTGTGTGTGTGGATCTGTGCAATTAACTGCCTCAGATGCGAACTGGGGGTCCACTGGGTGCTGTAAGGGGCACCTGAGAACCGCAGTCATAGTCAAGTTCAGCCATCCGAGACCGGCTCATCATTCTACTGTGGGAGTACGCCCGTCTGTCTGTCTGTCTGTCCCTGAAACTCCTGATGTAACTCTGTGGACAGACAGGAAATAAAGGGCTGCGGTGGGTATATGGCATATGTAAATACAGCAAGACACAAAAGCTTGCACTCATGTACAATTATTCTTCAATGAAAAGTCTGACATGTGACACTTTTATCCCTGTTCAGTTTTCTTCTGAAGTCCCATTGAAGAGGATCATTACCCCTTATCTTAACATTAAATATGAACCTGAAGCCTGCAGACACTTAGTTTAGCCAGACATTATAGGGAGAGGACACTTAGTGAATCTTAAACAGAAATGTGTGGGAGAGTTCTGAAATGCTAAAGCTGGCAGTTGGGAAGAACATATGAGCCAGTCGTGTTGAGTGGCACATGTTTAGCTGAGCATGATTGGTGTAGTTGTGTGTCTACTCTTCATTGTCCCAGTTTATTATTATTGTAGCAAAAAAATTAGTTAAGTATACATATATATATATATATTTTAATTTGCAAGGCTTTCTTCGTTACTTTGGCATGATCACCGAAGGAACTGTGCGCACGCTTAACAGAAGTACAGCTAAATAAATTCCTGGAGATATCAGCAAAAATGGCTGTCAAACTGTATGACTTGCCCTCTGGCAGGAGTTTAGCACAGAGAGAATAAAGATTTTGCTGTGCAGTGCATTTGTACATAAATAAAACAGTTTCTGTTTTTCCTACACTTATTTGTCCTGAACTTGTCACTTAACTGTGCGGAGTGGAACACTGATGTCATTCTACTCAAATTAAAACTGTGACTTGAATGTAGAATTTTATCCAAAATCTAATTTCAGAGAATCCGAAGAACACAAACATTTTAATGACCTGGACTGAGGATGTTCAGATTTTCATCGAATTACCTTGTTAAGAATAGATACAGTATTATAGCTTACCGGAGACAGCACATCTCCATCAAAGCGCCTTTTGGAGTTGGCTTTGCGGTGGTAGCCAGGCTCAGTCTGAGGAGGAGGAGGAGGGACTTTAGGAGGCTGAGAGCTCTGAGTTTGGTGATGAGGGTGAGATGCTGCTGGGTGGTGGTACTGCTGGTGGTTGTGATGGGAATGAGTCTTTTGCTTGTGCCCTGCTTTCTGGCTCTGTCTCTTTTTCTTCTTTTTGTTTTCCTTCTCCTTTTTCAGCCTCTCTTCTCTCTGTCGAATCCGCATGAGCTGCACCTTTCGCTGCTGTCGACTTAAAACCACTAGAGTCAAAGAAAAAAAGTTTTGATAATTAGTTGTAAGGAGAAGAAAATTAGAACGATAGATAATGAAGAGGGAGTGACTTCAGGATAAAGAGAAAACAGCAAAGCTTTTATAGAGAAACTAACTTTAGGTTACTTGTGTAACCCCGGTTCTCAGAGTTGCATGAGCGAGACATTGTGCTATGGGATGCAGCACCTCTTCTCACTTCAGCCAGCAAGAAGGATTATTTGGTGAAACATCTCACTTGCGCTACTGTGAGAACAGAGGTTACATAAATAACCCAAAGTTTTCATTCCGAACATTGATTTTGATGTCTCACTCTCGGATATGGAGACCTTTTGTACTGCCAGACAAGCTCATCTCAAGCAAGCACCAGCAATCAGCAAGTAGCCCCCTTATAGAAGTGAAGACCTACAGTGGTACTGTTTGGGCTACACTTTCCAGTGTGTAGAACCAGACAAAAGTAAAGTGTACGCACAGATGTCTTGGAATGACAACCCCTTAATCAGGGCCTAGCTCAGGGGTGGGCAATCTCAGTCCACGAGGGCCGGTGTCCCTGCAGGTTTTAGATCTCACCTTGGGTCAACACACCTGAATCACATGATTAGTTCGTTACCAGGCCTCTGGAGAACTTCAGGACATGTTGAGGAGCTAATTTAGCCATTTAATTTTTTTAAATTTTTTTTTACAAAAAAACCCCAAAACAAATAATTTAGCCATTTAAATCAGCTGTGTTGGTTCAAGGACACATCTAAAACCTGCAGGGTTAAAAACCTCGTGGACTGAGATTGCCCACCCCTGGCCTAGCTAGCCTATCTTTCAGGTGTGTTGAATATTGACTGCATAGTGGCGCAAGCTACTTAAGGGTGGGTGGTTCTGCCTGACACGGTCACTGCCATTACCAGCCAATCAAGACTGACTTAATGAGATAAATCCTTTTGAGGAATATGAGGGAGGCCCATCCCACAGTGAGACATTGAAACAATTGCTAAGAAAGAGAAGTGATTAAGTCAAGTGAACAGACAGATTCAAAATGGCCTGTATTTGTATAGCGCTTTACTAGTCCCTAAGGCCCCCAAAGCACTTTACATATCCAGTCATCCACCCATTCACACACAGGTGATGGCAAGCTACATTGTAGCCACAGCCACCCTGGGGCGCACTGACAGAGGCGAGGCTGCCGGACACTGGCGCCACCAGGCCCTCTGACCACCACCAGTAGGCAACGGGTGAAGTGTCTTGCCCAAGGACACAACGACCGAGACTGTCCAAGACGGGGCTTGAACCGGCAACCTTCCGATTACAAGGCGAACTGCCAACTCTTGAGCCACGATCGCCCTTACCAAATTACCAAGGTAAGGAATACAAGCAAGGCCTTTAATCAGGTAAGGGCTTGTACAAATATTTTAAATAGCTTTAAATGCAGATGATAAACTTTTCTCATGGTTTATTTTGAACGGAGGCTATAAAAAAAAAAAAGTAAAAATACTGATGCCAATTTGCTCATTTCCTTTATTCTGTTCAGTCTGTTGGCAGACAAATCATCTTCCTCTCTGCATGTACTTATACTGAGCTGTTCAGTCTCCTGACATATTGTGAGTGGGTGAGTGTGTTATTTTTGCACCCTGTCCAGAAAAGGATGTCGGTAAACCATCCTGCTTCTCCGTCCATTACACATAGGAGTATTTTTGAGCATGGGTGTTTGTAGGCATTTCCATTCAGTGGTTAGATATACACTATCTGTGTAATATTTATTATCTGAGCTCCAGTATTTATCCATTACAGATGCATTGTACTGGTCACAGCTGCCTTATGTGTGCGTGTGTAAGTGTAAGTGTTCAGAGGTCTATTGTTGTTTCTTCATGCATGGGGACAACAGGGCACCATCTGGCAAGGAAACTGCTTAATAATACCCCCCTTTCTTTTCCTTGGATCCCCCCACGTCAGGCCCCTCTGGCCACATGCTTCTGTATGTGTGTGTGTGTGTGTGTTGGGGGGGGGTCCACTATTTTAAAAAGGTGCTTCAGAGTTTAGGTTCAAGTAACAAAAAAATGCTTTTGGGGTTAGTATTGAGAGGCTATGTCAGTGACAGTCCTGATGAGCATAGGTGAATCGGTGCATATTCAATTAGTATCTACACAGAGGGGCAAAACCCCCTGAAAAAAACAGTCGAGACAAGTCAAACATGTGCGAGCTAATTCATTCATGGCCCTGTTCTGCACACTATTCAGTCAGCTGACAGATGATTTTCCTCACAGCTCCACTTGGGTGCCCAGCTTACCCATTGTGCCCCAGTTTATTATCCTCACTCTGCCCTTCCCCCAGTACACCTGCTTCCTCTTTACTTCTCTCTCTTCTCTCCTCCACACAATTTCTCATCCTCCGTTTACTGCCAGCAGAGTATCTTTTAGCAGATAAAGAGTAATTGAAAAAAGTTAATTCAAGATTACATGCTGTGGACGTTAAGTAATGCAAATAATAGTAGGACTTTTCATTACAGCTCAGTAATAATGTGGTAACTTCCACACATGCTTTAAGAATAATTATCATATTACTTGAAGTTTTCTTTCATAGGATATTAACCCTTTAAAGCCCAGTGTGTCATATTTGATACATGTGTTTTTGTGAGTTTATGAGACTTCAGCATCATCAGAATGACTTTTTTTTAACCTCAAAAAAATGATATAAATTGCATGACACATTTTTAATGACTAAATTGCAAAAATATGGCTTATGTAGCAAATGTGATACAAATGAAAACTCATATATATGCAGATTAAAATTTTATTTGTTCCTGGTTATTGAACAGAAACTACCACATGTGCTTCCACATGATTAAGCCACAGTATTTACTCTGTTACCGTCAAACAAAGAAGACTGCAGAAGGCATACGGTTGGATGCATTCCAGTGTTATAAAATGTTTATAGCATTCCTATATCATAAAGCATCAACTAATGTTAATTTATTATTATAAACATAAAATAATCAAGCATCCAAATATTAGCATTTTATTGCTAGCAGGCTATTATATATGATGTTATACTAGAATACTATGGTACTATTACTAATTTGTTTGCCTTATTGGTATTTGCTTGTTTCTACTGTGTTACCTAGTTTTTGGTGCCTTGTTACCCAATCGCATACATCTCACTGTAACCGTATTCAGTGTAACCACTGTTGATACAATATCACTTGGTTATTGTTTGGATATTACTTTGGTAATTTATTGGTAATAAGATGCTATTCCGTATTGTTACTTCTTTATTATTGCACAGTTACCACACTATTAGAAAGCTGTTATAGAAAGCTCCCCCAGTTGTTGTGTACCTCTTATTCATTGTGTAAGACAACAACCCGATATCATGTTAACATGCTTTGCTGTGATACTGGGTCGAAGAGAAAGTATTCAGGCATCACTATTCCATTAGTATTTATTTACAGGTATGCATGACAGCACATTCCAATGATGCCAAAGTGCAGAATTATGTAGCAAAATGTCAGCAACGTATACACTGTGTACAAGTAATGCACACGTTTGTGTAATGTAGATGTAACGCTGACATCTACGTTTGATAATAAAAATTACTAATAAAAAAATTAATGATAATGATAGTAATATATATTTTTTTATGTGCATGGGGAGTGGGGCAAACAGTTCTAATTTCTATCTCTCAAAAATTTCATGGTTATAATTTGATTACTTCACCAAGGCATAAGGTGAGATAGAGGTGGGTGTTCAGCGCTGCTTGTTTGTCTTTCTGTTTACCTATTTTTTATGCAAAGCTGCTAGGACACATTTTGTGAAATATGTTGGGGAGGTAAAGCACGGTCAAAGAAAGAATCCATTAAC